TATTAAACTTTTTTAATCTACGTAACAAGTATTAAAAGTAATTTTAAAAAACCGACTTTAAAATCGTGCAGATGCCATCATCACATCTTAACCAAATTTATATGGGACCACCAATGAGGTATCCCCTTACTAACAAAAAAAAAAATAGAATCCTAGAAATCGGACAAGGTGGTAAAGAATTATCGCTAAACATACATAAAAATGAAGAGTTTGAGGATTTTCTCATGGACCTAATTATTAGATGTTGATCAAATATAGGGCCACCCCTGAAGTACCCCCTTTCCAGCAAAAAAAGAATCCTTGAAATCGGACACCGTGTTAAAGAATTATCGCTGAACATTAATAAACTGTATTAATTGTATTAACTAAAAACTACTATATGGCATTATATACATTTTTTTAAATTCATTTTATATGTAAAAATCTGATGTGTCCAACACATGACTTTCCTATCTAGTTATATAAATGTTTAGAGGATAAACTAAATATATACATTGTCCACATACATCTACCTCGAAACATTTTTCTATAGATATTCATGGAAAACGAAAATACTGAAAAATTTTACAATTTTTTCATTACGGTCCATTTTAGAAAAATCATGTATAAACAAAAATTATAGAGATCGATATCGCAAACAACTTTTATTTCAAAAACTTTCATAATAAAAATCAGAATTTTGCACATTTTGTCAAATTTCTCGAATACGGACCATTTCAGGAAATTTTTACATAAAACAAAAATTACAGGTAATAATATTAGAAGTAACTTTTATTTGAACAATTTTCCTCTCCAAACATAAATAACAGATATATTCCATAAAATATAAAAACGGCCTCCCATAAAGTACCCCCCCAGATGTTCCGACTTTGTCCAAAATCTAATCGTTTCACGTCAGGCCGAAATAAACCTTAAGTTTAAAATTTAATGTTTTTTTCTTTATCTGTTTTTGAGTTTTTTTCAAAATTCGAAATTTACACATTTTCTCAAATATCTCGAATACGGTCCATTTTAGAGAAATTATGTAGAGAATAAAAATTATAGAGAATTATATTACAAACAACTTTTATTTAAACAATTTTTATAAAAAAATATTTTTTTTACATTTTGTCAAATTTCTCGAATACGGACCATTTTAGGAAAATTTTGTATAGAACAAAAATTATAAATAATAATATTAGAAGTAACTTTTATTTGAACAATTTTCTTCTCCAAACGTAAATAACAGATATATTCCATAAAATATAAAAATGACCACCTATAAAGTACCCCCCCAAATGTTCCGACTCTGCCCAAAATCTAATCAGCTCATAAGACGCTAAAACAAAGCTTAAGTTTAAAATTTGGTGTTTTTCTGTGTATCGGTTCATGAGTTATGCGTTATACAGACACACACACACACAGACACACAGACACACAGACACACACACACACACAGACATCATCGCGAAAATAGTCAAAACGGATTCAGGGGACCTCAAAACGTAAAAATCCGTCGAAAACTCGAGGTCGAAAAAAATCATGATTCCTATACTTTCCTTATATCTGTATACAGATAGGAAAGTAAAAATCTGATGTGTCCAACACATGACTTTCCTATCTAGTTATATAAATGTTTAGAGGATAAACTAAATATATACATTGTCCACATACATCTACCTCGAAACATTTTTCTATAGATATTCATGGAAAACGAAAATACTGAAAAATTTTAATTTCCTACAATTTTTTCATTACGGTCCATTTTAGAAAAATCATGTATAAACAAAAATTATAGAGATCGATATCGCAAACAACTTTTATTTCAAAAACTTTCATAATAAAAATCAGAATTTTGCACATTTTGTCAAATTTCTCGAATACGGACCATTTCAGGAAATTTTTACATAAAACAAAAATTACAGATAATAATATTAGAAGTAACTTTTATTTGAACAATTTTCCTCTCCAAACATAAATAACAGATATATTCCATAAAATATAAAAACGGCCTCCCATAAAGTACCCCCCCAGATGTTCCGACTTTGTCCAAAATCTAATCGTTTCACGTCAGGCCGAAATAAACCCTAAGTTTAAAATTTAATGTTTTTTTCTTTATCTGTTTTTGAGTTTTTTTCAAAATTCGAAATTTACACATTTTCTCAAATATCTCGAATACGGTCCATTTTAGAAAAATTATGTAGAGAATAAAAATTATAGAGAATTATATTACAAACAACTTTTATTTGAACAATTTTTATAAAAAAATATTTTTTTTACATTTTGTCAAATTTCTCGAATACGGACCATTTTAGGAAAATTTTGTATAGAACAAAAATTATAGATAATAATATTAGAAGTAACTTTTATTTAAAGAATTTTTTTCTACAAACGTAAATAACAGATATATTCCATAAAATATAAAAACGGCCTCCTATAAAGTACCCCCCCAAATGTTCCGACTCTGCCCAAAATCTAATCAGCTCATAAGACGCTGAAACAAAGCTTAAGTTTAAAATTTGGTGTTTTTCTGTATATCGGTTCATGAGTTATGCGTTATACAGACACACACACACACACAGACACACAGACACACACACAGACATCATCGCGAAAATAGTCAAAACGGATTCAGGGGACCTCAAAACGTAAAAATCCGTCGAAAACTCGAGGTCGAAAAAAATCATGATTCCTATACTTTCCTTATATCTGTATACAGATAGGAAAGTAAAAATGTAGGTTCGGTTTCTAGAAGAGTACCTAGTTCACTGTAGAGCCAAATTTATATTTACGATACAGAATTTTTTAAATAAATAAAGTTGTAGGTTTAATTAAACATCAAGTTTTATCAGAAATTACATTTTCTGATAAAAGTAATAAGAAAAAGTTTTCCATTTAAAAAGCAGACTGTTTGCGAGCCACTATAAATATATATTTTAGAGGGCAATCCATATTATATTGGAAAAATAAATAAAATTTTTGTATAATCACAAAAATGTGATTTATCTTTTAGAATATTGCATATGTTTATTAAAGTTTACTATTTTTTATAAAAAAGAATTATATTCTTCAAAATATTTCTTAAATTTTTTAACAGGTACAAAATACCTTAATCCGTTTATAGTTATCGATTTTAAACAAGATTAAAAAACGTTTTTCTCTTTCCATTTTCTAAAAAGAAACTAATAGAACTTTTTGAAATCGGTTTTCGATGACTTTTCTTCTGATTTATTGCCTTGAAAATTATATTATTTACATAAAAAACAAAAAACTGACCTATTATTTTTTTGAAATAAAAATATGTTGTTATTTTCATAATTTTCGACCGTTCTCTGTTTCCAAAAAAGAAACACGATGTTGTCAAGCAAGTTCTGCTGTAGATATTAACACATTCTGTAATTGGCTGTTTAAATTTTTTAATATTTTCATAATTTGGGAAACTGTATAACATACCCTAACTCCTATACCCGAAAAATTGTAAGTAAGCTCTTAATTGTCTGTTTTTTTATCTCACAATGTCGGGTATAAGAAGTTATATAGAAAAAGTTAGTATTCAATATCATCTAGACAAAAAACAAAAACATTTGTTTTTCCTAAAGGTTTTGGCTTTGGTAATTATATCCATTTGCCACAGATAAAAACAAAAACATGTTTAAATGAATATATTAAATAAATTATGACCATTCTTTAACAGAGATATATGTATTTGTAGGTATTATGAAAATAATGTTTATGTCAACAAACTTATGTTCGATATTTGTATCAGTTTGTAAAGATAACTCTTGTTTTATGATAATATTAATATTTAAAGGTTTTAAATAAGAACTTGAAGATATCACAGTTCGAAATTCCTTTTATTGACCATAATACTTTTTTTTGGAATGGAAGCATTAATTTAAAATTAAATAAGTTTGCTAAAATTTTTGACCATAGGCTTTGGCAATAAATAAAAGATTTTAGATGTTTTACAAATTTCTCCAAATTTTAAAGCAATGACTCGTTTTCGTCTTTTATTGTGCCACAATGCACAATCGTTTTTTTCTTATTTATGTATTTATCCCTCGTAAAACATCAGTAAAATATATTATAAATTGTTTTCATTCACAAATATTAATTTCTTAAAAATCTAACAGAGGCGCCACTTCCCAGACAAAAAATCTTGCAATGTAAGGGTTTCGTAGTACCCCACTTTTAAAGTTTATTTTTGACTATTTTTAAAAGAAAAAAATATGTACGTGTAGGTAAAGGTTAAATCTATGCTCCTCTGGAAGCACTTTTTCAAAAGTCAATTTAGTTTTTTCTAAAAAAAATTGAGAAAATGGGTAAAAAAAGTCGAGTTTTGTATTTTTTTTTATAAAAAACTGAATCAAATTTTGAAAAAGTGTCTCCAGAGGAGCACAGATTTAACTTTTACCTATGCGTACATATTTTTTTCTTTCAGAAAAAATCAAAAATAAACTTTAAAAGTGGGGTACTACGAAACCCTTGCATGCTCCGCGCTACAGCCAAGTAAATACTCCTCTTAATGATGAAATATTTTTACAATAATTTAATAATAATGACCAAATTATTTATTTATTCAAAATTTGTGATTTTTATAAAAAAATAACGATATTTAATAAAAACCATTATTCATGTCAAGTCGCTTTGTATTTCTATTATTTTCACGATAAATGATTTACATATTCTTATATAAATTCTAGGTCCACCAAGATACGTTTGTTCAAATTGTTTTAAAGGCTATGAAAAGGCGAATTCGTACTACAAACATCTAAAGTTCGATTGTGGCAATGCTAAATCATTCCTATGCATGATAGAAAACTGCACATATAAATCTAATAGAAAAGAAAACGTCAAAAGGCATATTGCCGTTACGCACGGAAATATCCTGAATTTTGAAGAATACATTTGTGATCAGAAAAACTATGTGTAACCATATATGTCAGGGTGTTTTAAAATAAAAACATTATTTGAATAAAATCTTTTATTAAAAAAAAAAACAATAAATTCAAAAATAATATTCGCCTTCTGTATATTTAATACACATAATCAGCAGTTAAAGCTATAAAGCTAAAGCTATAAATAATCAGATTCACAGATATCCACATGTTCATACATATTTAATTTCCTAAGAAATACTGATATTCTAACTGGGTTTAGAATACATTTGTTCTATTTTAAATCATTTATTAACTCACAAGACATCTCATAAGTACTAAAGTACATCCCAGTGGTAACAACAGCTTTAACAAGACTAGGTGACAAACCCTTAAAAAATCCTGAGGCTCCTTCTCCTAGATAAATCCTTTTTAAAGCATCGAGCATCCCTTTACAGTAAAACAGCTTTCCAAAAATCTTCCTCCCCTCTTCGAAGCCTTGTATCTGCATCCTCTTTTTCACCAAATCAAACGGATATATAGCGGTTTTTGCACACAGGCCAGCTAGACTACCAGACACGAAACTACTAGAAAAAGTCGTCTCTTCATTTTTAAAAACTATCTTGTGTAAATCGTTGAATAACTTGTAGCAGGCAAATTGAGCGCCTGCATGGGGACCCACCTGCAAGAAGGTAGGTAGGAGGCCTCTGAATAAAGTAAGGGGCCTTTCTTTTTGTAATATGTTCTGCCAGGAGTGTATCGTTCCTTTGTATATCATTTTTTGTTCAGATTGGGCTACTAAACGTGTTCTTGTAACATCGAATGGAAAAGAAATTACAGTTGCGGCACATCCTACAAATATTATACCCTCAAATACAGCAAAAAAGTAATTTTTATGACTAAAATTTGCTCAAAATGAACTTAAAATAAAAAAGTTCTTGCAATGTGCATTTGTGTATAATTATTTATTTGTTCAGTTAGTAAATATTGTATTTTTCTTCTTAACAATTATTTAGAATATTTTCTACTTCCATTTAAATGTTAAAATCGTAAGATATTTGTTCCACAATAATTTCAGATATCAGCAAATATTGAAATAACATTTAGGTACTAGATGTGATTTATAAATGCTAGGAACAAACCATGTTAAGTAATTTAACATATTTTTACAGAAAATGAGAAAATTTATTAAAGTAAGCACATGCATATTGAATTGAATTTTATGTACAGAATTTGTATATTGAACTATAACATACCGATTCAAGATTTTAAAGGCGATTTAATATTTTTCAGTATAAATCTTCCAGAAATGTACAAAAGAGTCAATAAAAAAATGCAAAATAGCACGTTTTGTTCCTAGCCTATTCAAATAATTTACATTTTTACCTCGATTTTTACGTTCCAGATGTGTTATGGGGGATTACCAAAGAGAACTTTAGATTATTTTAAGTTAAACCAAATCTTATACATGTCTAATATTCATCTTCTTAATATGCTCTCTGTAGATTTAAAAGATGTCCAAGTCAATATAACTAATAAATGGACTTAAAACAGAGTAATGTGCTATAAAGCTAATATTCAAATAATTCTCTAAACAAATTCTAATATTTATATTAAATATATAATTTCATAGCGACTAGATTTAGTCCCTCAACCCTTATCAACTGTGAGTGTGTTTCGAACAAATATTGATGGTTTTATTTCATTAATTTGCATTTTTCTTATCATAGTGAATAAACAATATGACTCTCCCTTTATTGCCAAACAAGACATTGTTGTAAATATATTCAAAGATAACTAATGACTCACCTGACACAGTGCCACAAGCAAAATTAAGAAAATATGAGTACCTAGGATTATTCACTTCTAATAAATGAACCTGCTTGTCAAGGTACTCATAGGTACTAAATTGGACCATACCATAAATAATAGATAACCATTGTGCAGGTACATGTCCTTTCCATAGAGCTTTTACACCTTCTTCCCGTAAAATAATCCTGAGAGCTTGAAATAAGGACTGGTATTTAGATGCTGCTAGACGATCTATAGGTTCTACTTGAAGTTGAAATCTTATTTTTAAAACATCAAGGGGTTGGCACAGCGCCCTTGTTATAAATCCAGAACTAGCACCAGCTAACACGTAATCGGTGCTACTAAAATTTTCATACTTCTTCGTATAACCTACCATGTTAGCTACCTTACTAATATTGAGTTTTATTTATAGAGTTTCTTGCTTAAATACTCGATCAAGTCTTGGAATTCATTTCACATTTTATATAAAAATCTAATTTTAAATTAGGCCTACATATATTTTGAAGTGTACTACTTGCCTTCATTTCTAATTAAATGTAAATATTACTAAATTTTATTCATTTTTAATACAATAAAAAATCTAAATGCGAACTTTTCATATTTGAATTTGACAAAATTGACATGTGACAGTGACAAACAGCTGATTAGCTAAGCGACATTGCCAAGTCGAATAAAGTTGGGTTGTCATATTACGTGAAATCACGTGATGTGTATTTAAATATTATATGCCGCGTTTGAGAATCCACATCCGCATCCAATGTAAAAAATGCATCCGATGTGGATTCTCAAACGTGGCATTAGATGTACCAGAAAGGACCCGAAAAATGAAACAAAAAAGAAAGTAAAAAACTATCAAAAATATTTTTGGCCTTAAAGCAAAAAGTTTTTTAAAACGATACAAAAATATCTAGAGAAATCATTTCTATTAAGTAAATGGCGTGGGAAAAATTATTTTTGATACATTTGATGTCCGATGCATTTTTTACCTCTCTATTATTGAGGGTTTGTTTATTTACATCGACACATGTGCTCCAACTACATTTGCGTATTACGTATCTTGAATCACGTGATTAAAGATTCACATCATCTATCACAACTCAGATGCATTCGAAGTGGATACATAAACGCAGCATAAAATCCAAAGAAGTAGAGACTTCATTGATAAAATCATAACACTTCATACCAATTTGAATTCAGAGACTCTTATTGGTTTATGAAAGAAAGACGTGGAGACTAATTACATAAACGATGTTGTAATAGTAGCCACGGTTAGAATGATATCGCCACCTTTGTTTAATATGTGCATTAAACAAAGAAAAAATAGTGAATTGTTGGAGATGGCGGCGCAAGCCCAGACTTCGTTGCGCAAATACGTGTCGCAGAAATAGGAAAACTTATTGTTTACGTCACGGACGCGTCACCAAAAAAATTTAGTTAAATATCTTCTAGTGGTGTTCTGTTGTGGCAGGTTTAAAGAAAAATCATGGAAATAGTTCAGGAAATAACCAGGCAATATTTTCTATGTATTCCTGTAGCCCTAGTGATACTAGGAGCTATATTATTGTTTACTTTTGGTTTCAAATCCCCGAAGCAACCCTCCTTTGAAAAATTCACCCTAGATGATAGAAAATCAGCTGGAAAGAAAAGGAAAACCAAGGAAAAGGTAAATTAAATATCATTATTTAACTTAATTAGTGTATAACGAAAAATTTATTTCATGTATTTATCGAAGATAAAACATATGCTGGTTTTGTAGACTTCTTTCCCCCTTGAAATTTAACCTAATTTAAATGAATATTCTCTAATCTCTTTACAGATTAAACATAAATTTACAGTAATTTAGTCTATAATTACAAAAATTTTATATTATAACATTTTTTCCATAGATAAAACAATACATGTATCCATTTCTACATACATTTTAAGTATCCAAAACTTATTATTTAAACAGATATATAATTAGCTTTAAAACCTAATTTTAATCATCCTGAACATAAGTCATACAGAAATTTATTTAAACATGTGCTTTTATGTCCATACTACCTACAATGTTGCTTATCATTTCATCTAATTTGCATATTATTGAGGACTTTGTTCACTCTAAATTCAATTTTCCGAACAGCATTTTCGGTTTGGAATTTTACTTTTTAATCTTTAGATTAAACAATGTGATATAGGTACTTACTCATATTTTATCATTGAATTTATCAATTATTAATATTGAAGCATCAATATTTTTAGGCTAGATTATGATTATTTTGTATATATTTATTTTCAAGTTACATTACACATTATCTAGGGGAAGTTAAATATCAGTACAGTTTTATAATAGTTATATTTGTAAACTCTGCTTACTTAGGAGGTAAACAATGCCATGTGCACATAGTGTTTTCAATGCTCAAGTTATTCATATTATTCATAGAGGCATATTGGAGTCATATGGCACTATGTCATAAAAACTAACAATTTATATAGTTTTACTAGTTAGATAAATAAACAATAAATAAATATTGTGACAATAATTGGGCCTAACTGCATTTCTTGTGGAAATATAATTAATATATGGAATTATGTAACACAATAAGTGTCCAAACAACATTCAATCTGCTCTACTCAAAGTTGACTTGAATAACAGTGAAACTTGACTATGTGTGTATGAAGTAATCACTGTGTATAACTGTTTTATTAAAACTTTCCTCCAACACTTCAACGAGGCCTTCCTATTGAAGAGGGTAACACATCAAAAACAAAACATAAAAAGAGTAAATGGCTGTCCAATTCCATTCGCGAGGCAAAAAATACTTTAAATTTATTTTCACCATTGTACATACAAAGGCTATTTAGTAAAGAAGATTTAAATGCATATAAAAGGTATTGCTCTAAACTGCTGCTATCTGAGAAAAAAATCTTTACAATAATAAAATCAATGAACCAGATAATAAAATAAAGGCTATTTGGAACGTTATTAATAAGGAATTGGGCAGGTCTAATAAAAACTTGGCTACTTTCAATGGAATTAAAGTTGATGACTAAATTGTAACTTCTCCTAAACAAGCCTGCAATAAATTTAATAATTACTACAAAACAGCTGCTTTGCAAATTCTAGGAGACCTAGATATGGACAATGTACATATAAATAAAATACAACAACATAATCCACAATCTATATATCTAGCAGATGTGACAATAGAAGAGCTATCGGAAATAATAAAAAATTTAAAAAACAAGCTGTCTGCAGGTGAAGATGATATTCATAATGTGCTTATTAAAAATGTTGCTTCATATATTCTTGAGCCTTTATGTTACATAATTAATTAATTAATTTATTTATTTATTTACGGGAAAAACCCATTTTACAATAAAAAATATATGTTATATGCACAAATACAAAATAAAAAACATCAAAAATTGTATCATGTAAAACATTTGATTAAAACATATGATTAAAACATTTGATTAACAAGGCAGACAATAACAGTACTTTCAAGTGTCATTAAGAAAGTGGTTAGCAATACTTCTTTTAAATGAAGGATGTGATGAACCAAAAAAATCCAAGTCTATTTCTATACTGTTAGCACTCCTAACCAATCGTGTTGATGGACTATAAAAGCCATAATTTTGTCTATGGTGTCTAATAAAAAAAGTTTCATTAGCTCTGGTTGCACTATTCATTTTAAGACCAATTTTTAATAAAATATCAGGAGAATATATTGACCCAGACAAAAGTTTGAATAGGAAGCATAAATCTAATTGAGTTCTCCAGTTCTGCAAAGTTGTGATCTCTAATCTGGAACATAGGTTAGCATAATCATAATTGTAATTATTTATACCCACTCCTAATTTATATGCTGAGCATCTCAGAAACTTATGTTGAACCTTTTCAAGTCTATTAATGTGAATGCAATAATAAAAGTTCCAGACAACAGCTGCATATTCCATAATAAATAATTCCTTTCAGAAAGGTGATTTCCCATCAAAACTATAATCTGCAGTGATGAGACCTATTTTAAAAAAAAGGAGATCCATTCCTTATGGAAACCTATAGACCTATAAGTTTGCTAACCAGCTTCTCAAAATTTTTTGAAAATGCAATGAGTAAATGCCTTACTAAGTTTCTTGCTACGAATGGAATTATTACCTCTACTCAACACGGATTCCAAAGAGGAAAATTTACAACTACAGCAATTTTTTCCTTTGTAGAATGCATTCTACATCACCTAGATAATGGCTGTATTGTGCATGGTGTATTTCTAGACTTGTCAAAAGCCTTTGATTGTATAAACCACCAATTACCATTAAAAAAATTATACGTTATCGGCGTACGTGGAATTGCATATGATTGGTTTAAATCATATCTGAATGCAAGGTCTCAAAAAGTCTGTCTGAAAACAAATAGTGAACTCTTTTTCTCAAAACAAGAATCGATACATATGGGTGTACCACAAGGAAGTATCTTAGGTCCTTTGCTATTCCTCCTCTACATTAATGACCTATCAAATGTGATAATAATAATAATATCTTTATTAGTACTAGCCAATGCTGCCATCGTAGATGGATGTACACGTCAACATTAATAAATAAAATTTTAAATAAAATTAAAATTACATTACACTGAACACATACGTTAAAACTAATAGTTAAACACAAATCAAAATATTTTTTTAAAGAAGACTATCTTCAGACAAAAAATCGTTAACAGAATAAAAGGAACCATGAGTAATAATAGTTTTTACATTAGATTTGAATTTAGTGTAAGATAAAGCTTGAATATTTTTAGGTAATTTATTAAAGAGTTTTATGCCTATATATTGCGCTCTTCTGTAACACTAACAAATTATGCAGATGATACTAACATTTTAATAGCCAGTACCCATTATGAAAGTCTGAAACAAGATACCATGCACATATCATCAATAATGGCAGAGTGGTTTCTAAAAAATTTCTTAGTATTAAATATGTCCAAAACAAATTATATCCTGTTTAAACACAGCAGAAATAAGAACTATTATGAAAATGCTATAAATCTAAACACAAATTAATTATGTGAGCTCTGCAAAATTTCTTGGTGTGATAGTAGATGAGAATTTGGGATGGTCTTGTCATGTGGACAATCTCTGTGGTAGGCTTAGTAAGAGTTGCTTTGCTCTGAAAGAATTAGCTAAAGTTGTAAACCAAAACACTTTGAGATCTGCCTATTTTGGAACACTTTTATTTCATTATGTGTTACGGAATCATCTTCTGGAGTGGTTCTCACAATTACGAGGTCTGTGTAATACAAAAAAGAGTATTGAAAATATTAACTGGGTTGAACTTTAGAGATTCCTGTCGAGGGTTTTTTCAAATCTGATGATGGTGGTTGGGGCATATGTATATTTTTGTGTAAATTTTGTAATTGAAAATCAGGTTTACTTCAGAGAACATATTTTTGGTCATACACATAATACACCTGGAGTAGATAGTTTTGTAGTACCAACGCGTAAAACCAAACTATTTGAAAAAGAATGCTATTTTAAATGCATACAATTTTATAATATGTTTCCACGCTATATAAAAAAATATTAAAAATGTAGGCAGATTTAAGTCAACCATTAGAAATATCTTAATTGATATTGAGCCCTACTCACTAGATGATGTTACAATCTTAAATATTTCAAAGTATTAATTTTCTTTGGTGGTAAACAGTATGATTGATGTAATTACCAATTGCAAATTATGGCACTATGGGTTTTGATAGGTTTTCCTCTAGTCTTGGTAAATACGTCATTCTTACTCCTTAAGGTATTTCACTCGTAAAACGGCCTTTCTTAAGAATTCAATAAAATTGAAATATGAGGTTAATGAAAGTGTCTTTTATGTACCTAAAAAAAAATAAAAAAAATTTGACCATCTGTAAAACGAGATATTAACAATCAAAATGTGCATAATTAACACTCTTGAAGCCCTGTCATGTACACAATCATTGCATTTATTTCAAGATATCTCAAAAACGGTTCTTACCATATTTTTTAAAAACTAATGTAATGTAAATCAAGAAGTTATAAAATGTTCTAAAAAAACGCTGAGTTTTTTTACCGTTTTGATAGAGAAATATAGATTTTTAAAATAAAAGTGTTCTTAAAGCAGTCGACGCATAGTGGCGTATTGTGATTACAACTTGGCAACGTTGTAATCGATACACTCAACGCCCGCTAATTCAAATGTCTATTAGATCAGTGCTTCCCAACCTTTTTATTGCCGCGGACAGGTCAAGTTTATCACTTTATCGAGGCCTTCTGGGAAGGGACGTTGTTTATACTTTAGGTTGATATGATTTAACAATTTAAATTTAATTGTATTTAAACATGTCTTCAAAATTAAATGAATATGCAGAAGATGAATATAATTTTATTTAAACATGCCTTCAAAATAAAATACAGTTACACAAAAAAATGAATATAAAGTAATTTAAAATTTTAACTTACTAGTATGAGGAAGTCATAAAAAAATACAAATAAAAGTAATGATTTTCTGTAGTATTGATGATATCGTAGGAACTTTCATGACAGCAAGAAATTTATTTAAAGCAGTTTGACCAAACCCTGAATGGACAGCACCTTTAAATAAATAAAATTATAAACATAACAAATACTTATGTATTTTTTTTAAATTTACCTAGAACTGCTTTAGTGTTGACATCTGAATGCTTAACTTTACTTTTTGTTGCATGAACTTTGTCCATAGGTACTATAGTTTCAATATTACATTCATTACATTTAACATTTAAAATTGAATAAAGGCCCTTTCGTGTTTCATTTGTAATATTTTCAAGAGAAAGAACTCTTTCACACCAGCAACATTTTAAATGTTTTCCCAACTCTAGTAATTCCACGATGCGACCACTGCACAGGTTATTTTTCAAGCTTGGGGTTGCCTTACTAAATTTTTTTGCATTATTCATAGCCAAAATTGATTTTTTGCGTTTGTTGAGGACGTACTGCTTAACAAATTTTCCTTTATCTCGCAATTAATTGATCCTGACAATGAAACATTTTGATATTTACATCTATTTCACTTTAGGAATACAGTTGACGTTTCACAATATATTTGCGACGTTGCCGGATGGATTTTACGCGATATAATACCATATTTGTATATAGGATCACATGTGTTGTGTGTACAGTCTGTTACAAAAATAACCTTTCTTTAGATTTAAGAATCTCGAACGGTTGGTATTCACTATAGGGCGATATTTTTGTGTATGACTGTCGCGAGTGAACTATTTTAAGTCGACCTAGCTCGCACATTAATAATTAATTATTAATAACAATACTACATCTTGCAGTTGGTATTTTTGCATCATCTATTTTAATTTTTAGCTTTATCTTTATGTAATATTTAGTTATGGATATTGACGTGTACAACACAATACACTTTGTATATTGTCCCTAGTACAAATAAAAGAATTTGAATTTATTTACTTAGTTTGCCTCTGAGATATTGATTTAGAGGAGGTAAAATATTCAAGTTTTAAAAGACCGAAAATGTCGCCACAAAAAAGCCCCTCATATTTCTAAAATACCTTCAGAGGCTTAGAAGAAAGAGTTTATATAGTCTATACAATTTTGTTGTTAAATAGTTACAAGTCATTAGAGTTGTAAACATTCCAAAAGTGAAAATCCCAAAATAAATCAAAAATAGATGATAAGAGGATTAAGTGCTTAGGAGTAAGAATTGCTCAATGAAGTAAAATGTGGTTCATATTAAATACTACCTAATATTTATTTATTTTTAAAAATCTGTCTGAATTTCTTGTTACTAAATACATGATTATGGCAGATAAGATTGCTTATGAGGGGAAAAGGTGCTTCTGTTAAGGTGCGATTTCCTCACTGTTGCTAGAAGCCCTATTTGTGACCCACTTTTCAGAAACAAGGCTAATCAGTCATCAGTTTGTTTAATAGTTACCCATGGTCTCCCATTTATTGTTTATATAATATTAGACAATATTTACAAAATAATCTTTTAATATAGAATATAGCTACAAAAGATTATACAAAAATAAGTTATGTTTTTTTATAAAGACATCATTTTTCTTGCTATTACTTAATATTTTTTTATGTAGTTTCTATTAATTTTAACAAGACGTCAACATTTATTTTTTCTTTATGCAAATTCCAATAATTTGATTTTTTTATGTGTAAATTTATATTAAAGTGGAGCGTGAATGGATTGATGAAGCATCAGCAACTTTAAGATTATTTAAATTATCTAATTACAAAATTTATAATTATCCACATTTTTTGTCTAAGTTTGCTATTTATATTGCTAAATTTCATCAACTACATGGTGTCATCTACATATCATATCATTTAGATAAATTAGATAGATACATTTATTTCTCATTTAGGACATATGCTTACAGTCATAAAACGTAAATGTAAAAATAATTTAAAACATTTAGATATAAATAAATAAGTAAAATCCATGTCACACAAAACTATGGTAAATAGTAAGATGAACATTCCTTCTCTTTACAAAATAATTCTCAATTCCCTACATATTAACAAATATCTTTTAAAATGAGGAAAACCAAACTTGATAGATAAAATTAAAAATTACATATGACAATTATTTCGGAGTACAACTTCTTCAAATGTGTAATTTTTATTTTTTAAAGAAAGAAGTTTGTGAAAATCTACCAAGGTTGGTTTGTCTCTTTTTGACAATATGAATTTTCATCAAGTAAATGCCGAATCAATCAAAAAAATATCTTTTATTTCAATATTAATTAACTTTTTATTTCATTTAAATATATACCCATGTTTGGCGACAGTGAAATGTCTCAAACAAAGTTAAAACTGCACTTTAAAATTAAGTTATAATATATTTTTTTCTGTTTAGAAAACCACTGCTAATGGCCACGTTACTAGCGGGGAAGTAAAATCTGACAAATCTCCATCAAAGGAGTCTAAAAAGTCTCCACAAAAGGAACCAGCCGAGTCGAAAAAAGAAAAGAAACAAGACAAGCAAAATGAAAAACCCAAAAAGCAAGAAAACAAACCGAGAAACGATGAAATCAAAAACAACAAAAACAAAGTATCAGAAAAACCGAAGGACTTCGATGACGGCAACTGGGAAACCGTTCCTCTAAAGTCGGACAAAAAGAAGAAGGAACAGTCTCCAGTCAAAAAGGACAAAAAACCGCCTTCCAAGAAAGAAAGAGAATCCAAAGTTGAGAAAGCAGAAATAGAAAAGCTGGTCAAAGAAGTCGTCAACAAAGAACTGCGTGAAAAGAAGGAAAAAGAGAAGCAAATTATTGCTGAAAAGGTGAAGGAAGAAAAAGTAAAGGAAGAAAAAGTAAAGGAAGAAAAGGTAAAGGAAGAAAAAGTAATGGAAGAAACAGCAAAGGAAGAAACTATCAAAATCGAACAAGTAGAAGAAAAGAAAGACAAAAAGAAGAAGGAGAAGAAACCCAAGAAGGAAGAGAAACCTGTAGATGAACCAGTTAAGGAAGAAGAGCCAAAAAAGGAGGTTATAAAAGAAGTCCCTCCTCCTAAGGAAGAGAAAATCGAGGAAGTTGTCAAGAACGTTCCTCAAACTACTGCACCGGCCTTTGACGAGTTGGGAGGTAAGATAAACAATTCTAATTTTTTTCAGATTCAAAATTGTTTTTCTCTTTTTTTCTAAAATGTGGGAAATATTAAAAAAATTATCATTGCAGTCTATGGTTTTTACAATCAATTTTGGTAATTGATTCTTTTTGCAGTAGATTTTTTTTTCTCTCAATATTTTTCATAAGAATATGTTTTTACAATCGATTCTTTTTTTAACATCGATACTTTTCACAGTTGATTTATTTTTTTGCAATCAAATATTTTTTACAATCGATTCTGTTTACAGATTCTTTTTACAGTAGATTCTGTATTTTACAGTTGATTTATTTTTACAATAATTGATACTTTTCACAATGATTAATTTTTCAATTGATTCATTTTAGATTCAAAACTTTTTTTACAGTTATTCCTTTTTACAATCGACACGTCTAACAATTGATTATTTTTCAGTCGATTTTTTTACTTTCTTTACAGTCGATTTTTTTACTTTCTTTACAGTCGATTTTTTTATAATTAATTCTTTTTTACCATCGTTACTTCACAATGGATAATTTTTTACAATCGATTCATTTTACAATACATATATAATTTTTACAATCGATTCTTTTACAGTAAATTATTTTTTACAATTGATTTTTTTACAATATACTTTATATAGTCGATTCAGTTAAGAATTTTTTTACAGCAGATAAGTAATTTTTTCACAAATGATTTGTTTTTTACAATATTTTTTTACAATCGATACTTTGCAATGGATCATTTTTTACAAATCACACTTTTTACAATAAATAGTTTTTTTAATCGATTTTGTAGACATATTTTTTTACAACTAAGCATTTTTTTATAAATGGTTATTTTTTAATATATATTTCATAATAGATAATTTTTTACAATCGATTCTCTTAACTGATTCTTTTTACAGTTGATTCTTTTTTACAATCGATTCTTCATAATGGATAATTTTTAACAATCAATTCTTTGTACAATCGATTCTTTTTGCAATCGATTATTTTTTAAAATCGACACATTACCATCGTTAATTTTTTACAATATATAATTTGGGCTATCAATTATTTTTACAATCTTATTTACAGTCGATTCTTTTTTATATCATTGATACTTCCCAATAGATAATATTATACAATCCACACTTTACAATTGATTACAATACATATATAGTTTTTACAATCGATTCAGTTAACTAATCTTTTTACAGCAGATAAGTAATTTTTTCACAAATGATTTGTTTTTTACAATATACTTTTTACAGTTGATTCTTTTTTATAATGGATTATTTTTTACAATCGATACTTCATAATGGATATTTTTTTACAATCGATTCTCTTAAGTGATTAAGTTTACACTTGATTATTTTTTACAATCAGTTCTTTTTACAATAGATTCTTCCTCACAATGGATATTTTTTGGCAATGGACACATTTAACAATCGAATATTTTTAAACAAAAATATATTTTTTACAATCGATTCTGTTAACTGATTCTTTTACAGTAAATTAGTTTTTACAATTTACTTTATATAGTTGATTCTGTTAACAAATTTTTTTACAGTAGATAAGTAATTTTTTTATGATATGCTTTTTACAGTTGATTCTTTTTTATAATAGATTATTTTTTACACTCGATACTTCATAATGGATATATTTTTACAATCCACACTTCGCAATCGTTTAATTTTATACATATATAGTTTTTACAATCGATTCTATTAACCGATTCTCTTACAGTAAATTTTTGTAATTGATGTTTTACTTTACTTTATACAGTCAATTTTTTTTTACAATCGATACTTTGCAACAGATCATTTTTTACAACAGATAAGCATTTTTTTTATAAATGATTCTTTTTTAATATATATTTCATAATGGATAACTTTTTACAATCGATTCTCTTGACTGATTCTTTTTATAGTTGATTCTTTTTTACAATCGCTTCTTCATAATGCATAATTTTTACAATCGATTATTTTTATCAATCAATTCTTTTTACAATCGATTATTTTTGAAATCGATTCTTTTTTCAATCGATTATTTTTTTAAATCGACACATTACCATCGTACATTCAGAGTAGGAGAGAAGCTTGTGTGCTATTGTTAATATATTGCCCAGTGCTACGATTTTTGAATGATATATAATTTGGGCTATCAATTCTTTTTACAATCTTGTTTACAGTCGACTCTTTTTTTAAATCGATACTTACCAATGGATAATCTTATACAATCCACACTTTACAATCGATTACAATACATATATAGTTTTTACAATCGATTCTTTTACAGTAAATTCTTTTTACAATTTACATAATCGTATATTTTTACAATACATAATTTTTGCAATCGATTCTGATAACAGATTTTTACTGCAGATAAGTAATTTTTTCACAAATTACTTTTTACAATATAAGTACTTTGTACAGTTGATTACTTCATAATGGATAATTTTTTACAATCGAAACTTTTAACAATCAATTCATTTTACAATCGATTCTTTTTGCAATCGATAATTTTCCCCATCGAATATTTTTTAAAATATAATTTGTGCTATTGATTCTGTTTTTTACAATATCCTTTTTTATAATCGATTATTTGTTATAATCGATTCTTTTTTATAATTGATTCTTTTTTACAGTGGATATTTTTTTACATTCCACATTTTACAATCGATTCTTTTTACTGTATATTATTTTTTTGTCAATCGATACTTTTCAGAAGGGATATTTTTTAGCATCGATTTATTTTACATTCCAAAATGTTTACAATAATTATTTTTTACTATTAGTACTTTTTATATTCGATTCTTTTTCAAATCGATTTAATTTTTTACAATCTACATCAAAATTCCCTATATTATTCAATTTTTCCCGCTTTTCACGGTAAATTCTGTTTTTTGTTTAGATATTTGGACGGAGTCGAAGGCAACTAAGAAAACCACCAAGAAAAAGGCTCGCAGAGACAACTAAAAAACTCATCTGAGACTTAAAAAAAATAGAAGCAACCTATATTTCACTCTGTACACCAGAACGTAGGTGTCCAGGTAAAAAGTGATTATAAATCCCAGAGCGTGTACTAAGAGACCATGATCTCAATACCCAAACTAAAATGAAAGACTTAACTGTCGATCTCCCCGTCATTACTAATAATACTAAGTCGCATATGGTAGCATTCTTGGAGTATGTGAAGTTTGAAATAGCACAAACATTTTTGATAAATTTTCGTATCAACAATTTTTTTTATAAAAACTATTACGAAAATAAAATATTTTTTAAAAATATATTTACGCTAATAGGATTGCTACCATATGTAACTTGTTACGGAACTAATTTTATCTGGAGACACGTTTTCATAACCTCTTCCAGCATTGGAAAATCCGATTTTTATTTATTTATTGTGATAATTTGACTCTTAGAGTGTTGCCAAGTAATAACATCATCCGAGGGTTGCTGTGACTGATTTTACCATTTCTCTTTTGACCAGTCGCTTTTTGACAGCTAGCAACTTTGCTGGACGACATGTACTAAGCTTGCTATGATAGTTCCAATGGCAGTTGATCTATTTATCCTTACTAAACAATATATTGATACCTATTGTGCTTGCTAAACAATATTTTGGTATCAGACTATTCCATTTGTTGCTAAGCAACTGGTAGAGAATTTATATTCTTATTTAGTAAAAAAGTGACATTATCAATGTAGCCGGGCAACCTATTGGTACTCATCTTTCTGTGATATTTTCCTACATTTGTTGCTAAGCAATTATCACCATTATTAAGCAACAATAGGTTGGTGGACTGTTTTATTTGCTTTTAGCAAAGAGCTAACCAAGTTTTTTGTTCTTATTATTATCATGTTGTTTCAGCAAACTTTCGCAATCTTGCTAAGTTGTTGCTAAGTAAAATAAAATCGGAACAAAGCTTGTACTAGATCATTAATTTTTCTATTGCAATTCAGAACATAATATCATTGAAGTGTGACTAGTCAAGGTATCAATTATCATGACACTTTCCAGTAGAACTATGTAAATATTCTCCACATTGTTTTTTTTGCTAAGTAAGCAGTAGTCCATTTGTATTCCTGCTAAGCAATATTTTAACAGTTAACTCATTTATTTTGACATTACAATTGATACAAATTGTTGCTATTCTGTCTGTGCCTAACAACTTGTTGACCAATTTTCTCATTAAACAATAGTTTGATAGCTATGATACTTTTAAGCAACACATTTCTTCCTTTTATTAATTTTTGGAACGTTGCTAGACAAAAAGAAATCAGAGAAGGAGAGAAGCTTGTGTGGCATTGTTAATTTATTGCCCAGTTCTACGATTTTTGAATGATTGCTAGTCAACATATTTAATGGTTTGATTATTGCTGCATAGCAACTTTCTCACTAAACTAAATTGGTAGCTATCATGTTTTTTAATAATTGATTTGCCTTCTTTTATTGATTTTTGGAATGTTGCTAGACAAAATTAAATTGCTAACTAGGCATTATAAAATCAATAGAAAGGAACTTGTATTACATCCTTAATTTCTCAATCAGTGTAATGAGCATATTTTTGAATGATTGCTAGTTAACATTTATGTTTAAATCGTTTTATTGTTTCTGCATGGCAACTTTATCACTAAACAATATATTGACAGCTATCATGGTTTTTAACCAACGCATTGCTGCCTTTTAAAAATTTTTGGAATGTTGCTAGTCACTATTAAGTTGCTGACTAGGCATTATTGCTAAGCAAAATGAAAATCAATAGAAAGGAACTTGTATTGCTTCGTTAACTTCTTGATCAGGGCAATGAGCATATTTTTGATTGACTGCTAGTCAACATATCAGTTTAAATTGTTTGATTGTTTCTGCATAGCAACTTTCTTACTAAACAATATATTGACAGCTATCATGGCTTTTAGTCAATGTATTCTTGCCTTTTATTGAGTTTTGAAAGGTTGCTAGTCAAAATTAGGTTGTAAACTTTTTAATATTGCTAAACAAAATGAATTCAATAGAAAGTAACTTGTATTACACCTTTAATTTCTCGATCAATGCAATGAATATATTTTTGAATGATCTTTAGTCAACATATCAGTTTAAATCGTTTGATTATTGCTGGGCAACGTAAATTCGGTTGATTTTAAACGTTCTCCTTTAAAATTACGTCCGCTTTAAGCAAACAAATGGGGGTCATCACTGTTTAAGAGAGACGTTAAGTTTCAGATGTATTTTTTTAATTTTAAGTGTAAGTTAACTTTTAGAAAATTTAGGCTATCATATGACATGGAAATGTTTAAAGAGCTTAAATGTATCGGCGGGGGTTACCGAAAAAAAATCGTCTTAGTGAATGCGTTTTGTAGTCAGTATGCCGAATGAATGGTGTTTTTTCCAATTTTTTTTCGGTAAATTTCGTCGAAAATAAAATATATTAGGTGCAGCGGCGAAAGCAACGGGTGAATATCAAATTTTTTAAATTTTTTTAACTTGTATTTGGCTAGTGTGTCATATTTTTGGAGCATTCCATGGTGAAAAACCAAACAAACTTAGGTTAAGTTTTTAAAAATAGTAGCGTAGATTGTGTGCCAAAACAAAAATACAAAAAAAAATAAAAAACGTTAAATGGTATCGTCCCTCACAAAAAATTACGGTTTTGTTAATTTTCTATTTTTGAAAATTTGAAATTTTTGCTTTTTGATTTTCTCGTGTCTTGTGATCTCAAATAATTATGAACTGTCAGGGGCGTTATTCTTGAAAGGTAATATCTCCTTCCTATTATTTTTTCTATCTTGACACTTTCTCATCCAATGCTGCTATCTTATTTTTTACTATAACTTCCTCTGATTTAGACTTTTCCATATTTTCTGATGAAGCAACAGGCACATCTCGAGGCAGCATAACATGACAACTGCAAATGCTGCAGTCATTGCATTATCCTTTTTTTAAAAGTCAATAGTATACATAAGAAGCAGAATTGGACTCAATGCGCGACCTCGTGGTACACCAGACTTGATCGTTTCTTCCTTATCATCTATTAGAATTATGTGTCTGTCCTGGGAGAGATTGAGACCTTTGAATTGACTTTTGGATACAAAACCTTCGAAGGTTAACAAATTGAGGTTACTGCCCAATTGTGGTTTTTGGTAACACGTCATCAAGAATGAAGCTTCTAATTTTAAATTAGCTTTGAATAATTATTGTTTTCTGGAAAGTCAATAGCATACATGAGAAGCAGAATTGGACCGCACACGTAGCCTTGTGGTACACCAGACTTGATTGCCTGCTCCTTCTCACTAATTAGGACCTTGTGTTTATTTTGAATTAATTCATAGAAGAGGTTATTCACTCTTCTTTGCCCAATTGTGATTTTTGTTAACACATTATCAAGAATGAAGCCCCTGGCTTTAAATCATCTTTAAATATTATTCAAATGATTATGTAAGTTTTGAGGGGGGAGATACCTGCCGTACTAAAAAAATCGACTTGTATAATAAATCTATTCAATGAAAATATATGGCCTTATAGTTGGCATATTAGCGAACCATATTTTTAAGAATATATTTTTGCGATAAATGGATGTACTCGATAAAGGCGTTATAAATAGTAAGTTGTATGTCTTCCAGTTGAGTTTGTTGTTTTTTTTTTAATTTTGTTTGTTTTTTAATGGTTTTTGGAGATGATTGTCCGTTTTTTAAACTGTATACTAATTTATCATTAAAATTGTCATTTAACCTACATTCTGCTCAACATCAACATTCTAAAACTGTAAATAGTACCCCCAAATATATCTTTGGTTTGTAAAAAACTAAAACATGCCTTCAGATTGGTCCACATACGCTCTTAGTAAACACGATTTCACATCTTCAATGATCATATTATTGTTAATTGAAAAATAGGAAAAACTAACTTTTAATGCATAAGAAGTGTGGTTTAGTACTATAAAATCGTTCATTGCTTTTCTTTCACAATTTTAACATTATTGCCTTCAATATATTTCCCGATACAATCCCTACACTGCTTCAATACAAATTTTCCATTGTCTTTAATCATTTTTCGAAAGTATATTTAATAATCTCCCCCGTTTTTTCTTTGACAACTCTACTGTCTCAAATCTCATTAATTGAGTAATAAAAAAAGCCACGAGATTCGGTGGATGCAGGGAACTAAATACTTGACCAAAAACCTCTTGACAGATATTGTGAGCTGCAGGGTTCTCCCTTCGAGCATGCTCGAAGGGTTCTCCTGATGAAAAAACCATGACTTCGTTAACATTCTCTTTTTCGATTTCTACGGTTTCAGCAGCCTAAATACTTAACTGAGTGAATCGTCTGAAATTAATTTTCGTCCTTCGTAAATTACTCAAAAACCTGAATGCCGTGATAACCCATCTTCATGTCCTGTTTTCATTAAAGCATATGTTTCTATGGTGGATTTTCCAAGATTCACGAAGAATTTAACATTGATCTGTGCTCTCCTTAAACACATGAACACGGCTGAATTAAGAAGAGTGCAACCTTTATGGTGATATCAATAGAGACCTTGACGCCTTACCGTCTGTCTGTAGAACGATTAGTACGGTTTTTCTAGCCACATTTCGTATATAGCAACGAAAGTAGTCGCTTTTCTGAATAACTTTCTTCTACTTGTTTTTCAATTAGATTTTCGAAAGATAAATGCGAATATGGCGCATAAAACTTCATAATCAATTAATATGTAAGTATTATTCAAGTTCAAATAAAATGTTAAAGAGTGTTGCAGAAGTATGTGGTCTTTAATTTTTAGAAACCATTCTACTAAAAAAAGATTGACAGTTATCTCCGATGTTTTTAATCCTTACTGTTTGGTCCAAGACTGACAATTTTATTCAGCATTAAGCAATTTCCTATTACTTTTGATTACAAAAAAATATCTATTATATCTTTAGTATTCGAAAAATAACGCTTGATACTGTTCGTTTTTAAATGGTAATGTCTTGTAGTTAATAAATATATTTTTTTAAATAATAAGAGATTCAGTAACCCAACTAATGCGATATGTTGTTCAAAATGTCCAAGAATTTTATTGTAAAGGCACATTATAAACCCCTGCAGTAATTACTCCGGTTTTTAAAAGAAAAGTACAAAGGGACTAAATGCAATTTAAAAAATAACCTTGGTACAATGCTTAAAGTCTGAGTCTACATACATAAGAAAAACTTCTCAGCGCTAGGTTTAATTTACCTACAAACTACGTCTCAGTATATCCACCAGAATGAAAGTTTATTGTCATTACAAGCGACAGGGCTAGTTTGGGTTTTTTCTGTTATATCCTTCTGTCTGTCTTATATCCTTCTGGATTTTCATTCTTTGAATTGGGTCCCGTTATCTTCCTGAACCCATTACTTCCATTCTGTTCGTGAGTAGTATAAGTTTTCCCCTAATCAATCAATTTTCTTCCTCGTTTCCTTTTTCTTGATTTACCTTTTTTCCTTACTTTACAGGATAAAACCTTACTCACGTTGTTGTATTCATCACCCATAGGACTTGCATGGTCTTACATGCCGCGAATTCGTAGTTAAAATCAAGAAACGGCTAGTACTGGTTCTATTAGTCATCTCTAATAGGTTTGTTTCAACGAATGGCTTCTGTACCGTCCTCTGAACGATCACAAAGATTTGTTTTGGTTCGAATCCTAAACGTCGATTCCAGTTCTCAAATACAAATCATTAATTCATTTTTTAACAAGGTTTGAACTGCTCCAGTGTAATTCACTGATTCTGAACTAGTTCGTGAAAAAAACAAGAGAAATCAAAAACTATTTGGACAAACTTTTAATGCGCAGGTGCTGATTTCATTGGCCTATACAAAATTGTTCACGAGTTGAAACTAATAAGGAACAAGAACTAGACAAATTTTTCGTGTTTGGTTAGATAGAACTGTCGCTTTGGCTGCCACATTAGAAAGAGCGAGGAGCTCACTTAATTGAGTGGGGATGATGTTGAAAAGCACACACTTTATGAATAAACCAGCACTTATGACTATGACGCTTGCTTTACACTGTTGTCATACTGCAAAATAATTGGAGTAATTTCCTGGAAATCAACTTCAACTACAATAGTTGTAATCAGAAAACACATTAAACTAATAATAAATGGCATTTGGAATACAAATATACTTCCTTAATGTAATTTTTTAAAACTTTCGTGCGTTTTAGAGGCTGTCCAGTAATCTGTCAACTATGTTGGATAACAACGTGACTGCTTGCAATTTGCCTTTTATAAACAAGATTGGTTATTAATCATTGGTTGGAATGCTTATTCAATTGTTAATTGTATTGTGTACCTAATGTTTTCAATTGTTATTGAATGTTTTATTTTTGTTGACCCGACTTTAGTTCGACACTTGACACAATGAGTGCTTTCTTTTGTCATCTGGATTCCTTTCCACTGACTGTTTTAAAGGTGCTTATTGATTTAGAGCAACTACCACATGTTTTCAAGCTCTCACTCGATAGCTGTTGCACAAGTGCTCTTGTCTTGTCAATTGTAGACCGTTATCAGTCCTTATTTTTTGACGTCGGGTTTCATACACCAAGAACATTGAACCCTTAACAAGAAAGTTCTAATAATTAACAAAAATCAGCTGTCAGTCGGTGAATACTCAAATGCGCATGGTAGTCCAAGCAGTTCTTGCTTTTAATCATGTACTGAAATAATCGTACATAAACCAATTCATAAACAGTCTGAAATTAGTTGGAACGTCTCTAAACTACAGCGCAAGACTAAGAAAGTGCAATGTATAGTTTTCTTCTCTGATTGGGTAAACTTATAATTCAGCGGTGTCAAAAGATCTGCTCTTCATCACATTCATTGCATAGTATCCAATCTCGTTCTTGACGGCCTCTTTAAGATGCTTCTCTTCTGTTCTAAAATGATTTTCTCATACGCCAGGAGATGATATTTCTTGCCATGTTTCTTGCCACTAAAATGTTCTGGATTCGAGCCTCCATCGTCAAAAATCTGTTTTAACCATTTGGTGAGTTCTATGAGTAATTTACTTTACTTCTATTAAGTCTTTCATTGCTGATTGACACCAGTTATGTGCCTACTTTCCTGTTACCTACTTGTTGCTATTAGAAATGCCAGTACAAAGTTAGTGCACGTAGATAAACTAAGTAGAACAATAACGATATCATCATAACTAAAAAAATTGCGATTGATCTCACTATATCCTTAGTATTGTCAAGTAATTTCGCTGCAAAATTGATTTTTTATTTGAATTACCCAATGTTTTGGAGTGGAGTAGAATGCCAATGTGTATGTTGTGTCAATAAGAGTAGGTGGGACTCTATGGGCGCAGCCATGTTTATTAGTCTTCTCACTCGGGAGCATTTATAATAACTATTTTCTGTTTCACACAATTTTTGTCTTGTTCACAATCTGGTGGATCAGGATTGTTTAGAGAGAAATAAAAAATGGTTATTATTATTATTACTTCTGAGTAATATTGACAAGCATTCTTCCCCACTAAACTTCATTAGGATTGCCTCATTTTTAACGTACCATAGATGAATTCAGAGAGTCAGGGACAGGAGCGGAGTTTTTTTAGGGTGCTTTTAACTGACATTTAAGCGTGTTGGACTGTTACTAATCGGGATAAGCTGACCGCTAGAAGGGTCGTTTAGAGTTAAGAGTTAATGGAGCGAATAGAACTTGGCTATCCGAACTTACTTCGTCGGCGCATTTTTAATTTCATCTGTCGTATTAAGTTGGTACATTAATTTGCGCGGGAAATTCAAATTCTAGGAAATTTTGAACAACAGTTACAAAACTTATTATCAAAATCGTTTTTTCATTTACAATGATTTTTAAACGAAGAAGAAAAAAAGCCTATATTTTCGTGCTTGCTCAATGCAATGATTGTACAGGGCGAGTCGCTGATAGAAAATTCTTCCTTAATTCTGCATATTATGCGGTATTGTAATTGTGTATTAAACCATGCTGTCGGCAACTCGCCTTTTATAAAAAAATAATGAGATCATCAAAATATTTTTGAATGATTCCATCAACTGAAAAAATGGGAAAAACCGCAACCATCAGATAGATGTACTGTTTTATTTTTGACCTGCGAATTTTTCCCGTTTTTGAAGACCAACTACGTATAGCTATTGATAGTTCTAGTTTAAATGACACCCTGTACATTGTATATTGTAAATAGTCCTTGTGATTGGTTTTGATATTTGTATTTTACATGAAATAATATAAATGTTCTGTTGTGTTTATTAAATGTTTTATTAGAAAGAAAAACTACAGGGTGTAGTTTTCTTAAAAAGAATTTTTTTGTATAATTGATGTAAAAGCTACCTGTTTTCTATTTATTATTTTTTTAGTTAATTTTTTTTGACAAGTGTTTTTTAAGTCGTTTTAGTATCAATTTTTTTGTGTTGATGAAAAATTAAAATTAGTTCTTAAGTAGTCTAATTAATATATTTTTAAGCATTAAAATGTTGTAAAGGTTTTTTTGTATGTTTAGTCAGTGGAATGTTATCTTTTGGGGACCATTTTTAAAATATATTAAAAAGTCTTACTTGGTGTGTTTTATTTACTGAAGATCCTGACCATGGGCGTTGTTACTTAATTAAGAAGGGGTAAAAATTAGATTTTTGGACTCATAAACTATACAGGGTGTTTAAAAAGAAGGTAGTCCCGTTGACGAGATAGGTAGAGCACTGTAAAATAAGTTGGGTTTGTTCAGTAAAAAAATTTCGTAACAACATCCGTTTTAGAGATCGACCGATATTGGTATCTACCTAATAAAAATATCAATTAAATATTTCAAACTAAAACACAAATATTAACAATTTAAATTATATTTTTAAGGTTTAAGGAGGTCCTTTCGCCACACCTCTCGCCTCAAATGTTAAAAAAAAAGTTATTAGATTATGACTAAAATTAATTTTTTTCTAATAGTTGAAGTCCTTATTTATCAAATACTGAACTTTTAACTATACCTTACCTTGCAAATTTTTGAGAATTTTTTTTTTAAAATATGAGTATTTGTACAGTTCCTCACGAGAAAGTAAGTCCTCAACAACAATTCTCGATTTATACTATTATTTATTGATTAGATGGAGTAGAAAAAAACTAATAATAAGGTTTTTGAAATATTTAGATTTTGTTTTATACAATAAAATATATATAGTAAACCGTGGAACTTATTGAGAAATTAATATTAAAAAATCACAAAAAATTTTCAAGTAACTGTGACGGCCCGCCCCCAGGCCCCCTCTCTTTTTGATTTGTTCTTGGTTTTACTCTATTAAATTGTTATTATTTATTTCACAAGTTTTACTTTACTTTAAATTCTATACTTACTGTAATTGGCCTTTTTTTCTCTAGTAGTAAAAGTGATCGTCTAGTTAATTAATTGATATTTTATGTACCCACGTTGTGATAATGTTAATTAAGGTAAACCAGAATTCGATGCAAAGTTTGGTGCAAATTGATAAATAAAACATACAAATTTATATTTAAACTCTTTTTTATTTTTCATACTTTAAATGTGATGCAATAATTAGCAAAGTATTTTACAATTGTTACTATTTACTGAGATCTCACTTGAGTCCCGTTCAAACGCAGACCATATTCATTTGCTATCAATATATATCCTATTTAGGTTGATGACCAACAGAGTTAACAAACAGCGTCAATTCGCCAGTTGATTAATTATAGTGTTGTTGTTTATATTCTGATTTAGGTTGATGACCCACGAAGTTAACGAACAGCGCCAATTCGCCAGTTGATTAACTATTGAGTTGATGTTGATTTGATTCTATTGTAGATATATACAGGTTGCACCCTCTTAGGTAAATATTACGATGAGTATAGAGGTGATGACCAACGGAAGTAACAAACAGCGCCAATTCGCCAGTTGATTACCTTACTATGTTGATTTCACATATACTTTGTTTCAAACCTTGTAGAACGGGTTGCTTAGCGTATAGGTGTCCCCCCTTGAGTTAACGAACAGCGTATTCGCCAGTTGGTTAACTTACTATTAAATTTTACCATCTTGGTTTGTACAATTTATCCAAGATAGCACAACCCTGTATATTTCCAAAATATTGATCTTTATAATTTCTATTGATATGACTTAATACAACCCTGTATGTATTTTAATATTGATTATTATAATTTCTATTGAAATAACTTAATATAACCCTGTATATTTCTTAATATTGATTTTTATTATTTCTATTAAAATACTCCAAATTTCATTCATCGTAAAACAGATGTTATCCTATCTTTCGGGGTGTATGACCTAAAAGCCATGTGGTTTATTGGTTAAATTGATAATATTTTACAGCAAATGTCAGGCCGCCCTTAAACGAAACCGGGGTGGTATCTCAAAGAAGGTTAAATAAATCTTTTGACTCACCATTGAAAATACAGACATTAAATTATGTACTAATTTCATCTAGCGTCGTGGAAGGCGTAGATGTAGGTACGTCGCAGGGTTGGGCGTCGAGGCGTCCATCGTCGAGACGTCTAGCGTCGTGATGGAAGGGAAGGTATTTAATACGGTACTGTATTGGGACAGATATACGGTAAAATTAAGTAGGTGGTGCGGGACGTGATATTATGAAGGAAATAATTATGGACGGCAAAGCGTCGGAAATAAGGCGTGGGACGTTGAGCATCGAAATGAGTGTACGGTAGGAAATACTTAGATGGTGAGGAATGTGACAGCGTTCGAGACGTAGGGAGTAGGATGGCAGGAAGTTGAGCGTCGAGACGTTGACACCGTCGGGGATAGGAGGTATTGTAGGATAGACGTCGTTTAGGAGGAACCTTTAGGAAAGGTACAGATTATATAACTGGGTACAGATAATAAAATGTATGCTTGCACATCAAATGATAAAAATTGAATGAATCCGAGCTCATTTTCGTCAGACTTTTTATACACAGTTTAATCGTTTCTGTGACGTCTCTATCGTTTTGCTTCTCATAGAAAAAACGAATGTAGGTGCAAAAGGGGGTGGGTTATTTATTACTTGCCTTGAAAGTTTTGTGTATCGAAATATTGTCGATATCGGTCTGAACATCGAAACTAGGAAAATAAGCGACTTAAGTGTTTTAATGATAATCTTCGTAAACAGAAATACACTTTATGGTGTTTTCTTTCTCGAGGAACTCAGCCACGTGCATCTTTTACGGACGTGGTTATAGATATTATTTATTAGGTGTCGTAAATCAGATTTAATTATCTGGGAGATTTTTCGTTAAATGAAGCCTTTTGAATTTAAAAGAATGTAATATTGTATTTAATAATTGGAATTAATAAATTATTAAGGTACCTGGGTGCGGTAGGTTACATAACCTAGTTGAAAATTTTTTGTGATTTTTTAATAATAATTTCTCAATAAATTCCACGGTAACCTATATATTTTATTGTAAAAAACAAAACCTAAAAATTTCAAAAACCTTATTTTTAGTTTTTTTCTACTCCATCTAATCAATAAATAATAGTAAAATTAATTATAATTCGAAAATTGTTGTTGAAGTCTTACTTTCTCACACTGTACAAACACACACATTTTTAAAAAAATTTTTCTCAAAAATTTGCACGGTAAGGTATAGTTAAAAGTTCACTATTAGATAAATAAGGACATCTAATATTAGAAAAAAATTAATTTTAGTCATAATCTAATATTTTTTATTTAACATTGGTGGCGAAAGGACCTCCTTAAGAAAAAAAAACATTTAAAATCTACAATGAAAAGATTACGTAAAAAAACATTTTTTAAATACTTAAAGTCAAGTTTTGGAACGTTAAAATGCAACAAAATTAAACTTTCTGCTATTTTTGAGGTTAGACGATTTCTTGTGTTTTCATATACAGGGTGATTCATTAAGGGTAGCGACCGGCCCTATCTCGGAATATCTAAGTAAATTTTTTTTAAGAAACGCAAAAACGGGTCGATTTTTATTTCAATAGTATCCCCAACTGTCATATCATTCCTCTCCCATCCGTCAACCTATATAATTTAAATAAGGAAAGAATCGATCATGACATCTTCAAACATTTAATTGTATGGGAAATTCAGCAATATGACTGTTAATTGCATTATTTTTCATTTTAACGCCCTCTAGCGGAATACAAAACTGTTACGTATTAGAAAGTATAATACTTCATTTAAAAGCAAATTTTATTAATGCAATGCACTACATATCCCACTATAAAGTAACACATTTTAACAACTTATAACTCGAGAATGGAAAAAGATATCGACGTGTACTTTTCATTAAACTTTTTACATTTGCTTCAAAAGTTTCTTGACATAGTTGCCAAATGTATATTTCTTCCCAAAATTGCCGAAAAAAATTGCCATTTTTACATTGTCCATTAAAAAATTTGAGTGTGTTCATTCTTTATCTACTTCACATAAATTATTTGACGTTTCTTAATGTCAGTTTTATATATTCTTTTTCAAAACCACCTTGAAAATTTTTTTTATTTAAAGTAAACTCGGAAATAGACTCAAAAATGTATAAAAAATTAATAAACTTTAACAGAAAATTCCAACAATGTTTTTGACGTAGATTCATAAAAAATATCTCCCCCGAATCTTTAATAAATAATCAAAATGTATACATTTTTAAAAATATAGGATGTAAGTAAACCGCTAATTTTGCTTAAAAAAGACAATTTTGTCATCTGGGAAAAATATACATTTGGCAACAATGTCAACAAATGTAGGAAGTTTAGAGTTATAAGCTGTTAAAATGTGTTACTTTATAGTAGGGGAAAGGGTTGTTCCTTGGGACATTTTTTACTTCTACAGTTATTGTGCTGACATCTTTCGTTCGAATACAAAAATCTTTTAGCTCTGCAGAGGCTATAACTTTAGCCAAAAATCAATTTTGCCAGCATCAATGCGTAGACCACTACTAATTGTTCAATAAGCAGTTGGTGATTTTTGTCCCATGGTACAACCTGTGGTTTTACATTGGGACATGGTAAATAATTGAATATCATAGTTTTTATTATGTTAAAATAAGCCATAACTTTAGGTAGTATGTATTTGTTTTTTATTATAAAAATATGTTAAACATAATTCATATACCGAATACAATTTATTTCAAATTAAGATCCTGTGGGAATGAAATGTTAAAGAAATGAAATCCACGACGTATTGTTGGAGTAGGCAATACTTTCACTATATTGCACAGATTAACACTGCTGATGTCGACGCTGGGGAGTATAAAATGGGTTCTTTGTTTCCTGAGAAACTTGATGATCCCATCTGGTCCAGATTTGTTGTACTACTAATCCAATGTACTAAACATCTCCTTTAGTTTTACCGGCGATTTGCAATTTAACTAGAACCCAGCTGCCTTTAGAGAAAATCAGCTGATCTTCGTTAGTTGGAAAGAAATTATAGGACTCCTCACCTTTAGAACTAGAATTGAATCGACTCCCTCCTGAGCTATCGCCAAGGTCAGGTAATTCTTCATCAGACCAGGAAGAGGAAAATTCTACAGCTCTTTTAGCA